TCGGAAACAGGCAGCAGGAGCCTGAGGGACGCTACTGAAGAAAGAACAGTTGTCTGCATCTCTGTTACATTGTGAGATAGAGCAATCATTTGCATATAATGATAGAAATAGTTCCTTAAATTTTATATGTATAGAACACTTTATTCTTTCAAGACTTGTTAATATCACTGTGTAGAAATGTCTTCATCTCCATCTGTTCTCACCCTAAGACATTTCAGAGCCGTAGGGAGCAAGGGGAAGGCAAAGGAAGAACAGGACAGCCAGGAGGCAGCCTTTCTTTCATTGATATGAGTCTGTCCTGGAGAGAGACACATTATGATAACCTAAAAATACATTCATTTTTGAAAAAGGAGTAAAAATAATTTGAGTTTTGGACAGTGATTTGAAAGCTGCAGAAGTTCCAGGGAAATACATTAACATTTCTTCTGTCTCATAGCTCTTTGCTGTAATTATGATGTGACTGTCCTCAGTTACATTGTTACTGTAGTCCAATAACTAAAGTCAGATCAGGTTGCTTGTAAGAAGTAGTGGAATTGATTAAGGACATGGCCAGAAGTGACAGTTACTCCTGAGTAATTTAGGAGCATTTTGGTCATAAATGTTCCTAAATGGATTTGTCGTCTGCTCATGCCTCGTTCCACTGACAGTTTTTGAATATGCGTAATTATAATTAGTGATTGAAAATGCAGTTCATTGATGGGTCCTGTAATTTAGGTACCAGTGGAGTGATGGAGTGATCTTTAACTTCCCCTTCCCACTTAGATGTGTATGTGTAGGTGATTTCCAGTGCATTCTCGTGAGAGCATTAGTCAGACTCCCAGGATGAAGAGTGTTTAGTGTCCCATTCAATTGGAGAGAGAGCCTACCAAAGTTAAACTCAATATATTCTTCCCCCACACATCCTGCTCATGTTGCTTTTATGGATTGAATTCTGACATGTTCGTGAAATAAAGCATTGCTGTTGTTTTATTTTAAATTTCTTGAGATTTTTCCAGAAAGAGGTATGGCTCTAAAACTACCAGTATACAGCTTGTCTACACAACAGCAGAAGGAGTGAGAATGTGATCTGTAGAAGCTGCGAGCAGTCGGGTGAGAGAGAGAAGTGC